CACACACACACACACACACACACACACACACACACACACACACACACACACACACACACACATATATATACCCCTACCCCACCGTCTCTATCTACACAGACCCTGTTACCTGGCAAACAGCCTCCTGAACCCTGACTTTTTGTGTATATAGTTATAAACATGAATTTTTCTGGGTTTTGGCTTTCTTTTTTCCCTTCCCCCTGTTTTGGCTTGTTCTTTTTGGTTTGCATCTAGACTGCTAGATGGATGTCTGCAGAACTCTGTCCTGTGTGCTCAGCTTCGGTTCACCCAGCTTTGTTGCATAGCTATCCCTCAGCATGTTTTCCTTGGCAAAAAGAAAAAATAAAAGAAAACTGGCTTGCCCATGGCCCCCGGGGGCCAGTCAAGGGCCACTGAGGGACCAGGCTCAGAAACACGACACATTTCTGTGGCTGCTTCTGGCTGGTTGCGTGTCCTGTCACCAGCGGCTTGCTTGGCTGGATTATGCCTTGTGTTGACCTTTTTTTGAACAGTGCCAGCTGCTTCCCACTTCTTTTCAACCTGGGGTGGCTGGTGGTTCTGCCTGGAACCGGGGGTGGGATCCACAAACCTGGGTCCAGGATGCTTGTCCTAAGGGGCCAAGGCTGCTTCCCCTCAAGGGTGGGTTTGTAAAGGCCCAACACTCCAGCCGGCACCCTGGGAAATGGGTCTAGGAGAGCCCAGCCCTCGCAGGTAGATGGGGTACAAGCAAGGCTCCTGAAGGTCCCTGGCTGGGAGGAGTCAAGACCAGTCCCTGCTATTGATATGGGCCCTTCACAGCTGACTGAGATGGAAGACCGTCACATGATGCGCCTGGTTCTTTACGCGTTCTGGAGTCTGCGTGCATCCCTGTTGGGCATCGAGCGAGGCCCGGTTAGATTATGATGAGACCAAGTGTGGAAAGTGTGGGCTGGGACCAGCATCCACATCCTGTCACCTTCATGGTCTCTGTGCTGCCCCAGGGGATGTCCGGTGGGGTGTAGGCAGCACGACTTGGCACTGTGCAAGTCACTAGGGCATCCCGCAAACTTCACTGACCTGGTTCATGCCTTCGGTAAGCATTTTCACGCCCTCTGCTTACTTTGACAGGTGATGACAAATCTTAGGCTGCCATTTTTGGCTGTGGGTAACTGTGTGGTGTCTTATCTTGCTTTCCCTTCTCACTGCCCCACGGTTTGGTTTCATGTTACAAACAAAAGCTGTTCAAGGGTCCCACCCTCTGGCACATTTTCTCTCTTCACTGTAACCCCTTCTCACCCCACATCAAAAGTTACCACAGAAGGTTTCCTTTGTATAGAATATTTATTTTGAAGCTCTATTTTAATAGTATTTATTTTAGAAAGTCTACTATTGTAAGAGTTCTTCTGTTTGTGAAGAAAAAGCAAGTTAAAAACTGAATGTACTGATCTAGAATATATATATAAATATATATTGTTAAATATACACAGGACTGCCGTTTCTCTGTGTGTCTGTGTGTTCACACTCCCAACATCTTCACCCAGCAAGGTGCCACGTTTGTCAAAGAACAAATGGAAGTGAGTAGCCAAGCTCTGGCAGACAAAGAGGCGGGGGGAGAGGGCTCCTGGCCCTTGTCCTGCCTCTAGGATGACCTGAGAGTCGGTGGAGGAAAGCTTCACTTTCTTATGAAGCTGAATCCTGCCAGGTGCTAAATCCTCCGGCAAGCCCTCCCCTACACG